CGTAATTTAAGAGAGCGTAAATGCTTGTCGACATCTAAATTTCGTAACCTTTCATCTAAATCTTCATTTTCGAGATTCATTTTTAAAAGTCAGTTTTTTGAAGTTCATTTTGATAAAACCTTCCTATGATTTGTTCTTTGTCTTGATCGATCAATTCATACGTGGGAGGTGATGTGTTGTTTACTTTATCAACGATGAATATCTCGTTAGTCCAATAACCGACGTAACCTTTCTGAAACAATGATTTATATTTAAAAATACGAACTCGATCTCCAACTTTGAATTTGGGTTTAATATTCAAATTGTTAATCTCGTTTTCAAAGTTGTTTCGAGTGTTGACGGACTTTATGATATTCGGGTTATTAGAGGCTTGCGTTGGCGTCACACCTATAGACGAATGTATTTTGTTATTGTATTCGTCGACAACAACCGGTAATATTTTAAGCCATTTTTGAGATTTCAATTCCGTGAATTTCTTGAATAATTTGCTTTTAAGAGTCCTGTTGAATCTTTCTATCACTACGGCTTTACCTTCGTTATGCGTACTGTAAATTTCAAACCCCAGAGATTTCACATTTCTGTTGTAGAATTCGCTTCCTTTATCTACCCACAACTTTAGGGGTCGTCTGTCGGATTGTTTCATTATGGTTTCGAATGCTTGTTTGACAGTTAGACCCGATTTGTTTTTCAAGGGAAAGACCCAAGCGTATCTCGTGTATATGTCGATCACCGTCAAACAATACTTGTACCCTCTCTCGACTGGCATGTTGATTAAATCGACTGACCAAATTTCATCTTTATCAAAAACTTTGACTTTGAGGTAATGTTTGTTTTTTCGAAATTCTTTGTGAATCTCGTCTGCTATACCTATACCCAATTTCAATTTTGCCTTCAAGAGTTTTATGATAAGAGCCCTTTGTAATTTCTCTTTGAAAGTGGGATTGGGAATATTTTCGAGTTCGTCTATCATTTGTTTGTCTGCTTGGTGTCTGAATGTTACGTCTTTATTTCTGTACAGTATGTCGTGTTTGAGCGCTGCTGCGTCAACTCTATTAACGGGTTCTTCCCCTGGTTTGGGATTATCATTTTCGTCTAAACGCAGATCTAACCTAGTGCCTGGACCTGTATAATTGTGCCCTGGGAGATGTTTTTCTCCGGGATATTTTGCCCATGGGAATCCAGGAAGAGAACCCAATGACTTTTGAATGTCTCCCGCACCGAAATACGTTTTAGGAGGATGGACATTTATTAAAGACATATTTGTTCAATAAACACCATATATTTTTAATACGAAAGATTTAATACAAGAAGGAAATTTGTTGTTTGAGACAAAATTGGCCACTTTGGGGATGAGAGATGTCTCCTTCGAATTTTTTTTGTTCGTGTTTTAAAATTAAAGACATTTTTAATGCGGTTATTTTTTACTGTATTATTATTAGTGATCTGTGGTTTGGGTAATTTATATGGAGTCTGTTATAATACAGTTTGGAGGAGTGTGTTATAATACATTTTAACAGTTGTGTCTTTTCGGATATGACGCATTGAAAAAGCTGCGCATGCGCAGAAGTGAAATGCGTCATATCCGAAAAGACATATACTACTGACGACCAGTCTTTTCTCGAGACTATGCCATATACATACACACCCTCCCTCACCCACTCCCTCACACACACACACGTAATGGAAAGACATAATTTTATGTAATACTGGAAAGACACAATTTTATGTAAAACTAGATAATAAAATTCCTAGTTTGACATATCTTTGAAGGAATTATGTGATTTTTGTACATTCCTAATACTCCTGGAGACCCTTTAAAAATATTCAAGACCTGAATCAACCCCCGATAATGTAGAACTTGTCCCTTTAAAGATTTTTTTTTTGATAATCTCATGAACAAACAAAACTTTTCAATTTGTTATGAAATTGCCTTTTTGATGTTTTGATACATTCTGTGTTCATGTAATCGAGGAATCGATGAAACTCATGTGTCAGTTAACATTTATTTATGTACTGTACAGTAAAATGCATAACCGACATTATTTATATATTGATTTTTCTTTACCAGATAGGCTACACGTATTCATTCTTACTTTCACTTTCATCTAGCAGTTTTGAAGCCAAGAGCACAATCATTAGGACAAACACCATCAGTACATCTATCTCCAGTAGACGTACAATGATTTTATTTCTTATATTTATATATTTATTACTCGACAACTGATAAATCACAGTTACGCACAGTTGTCATGAGGTTTTCGTGATCAAGTGTAGTAAGAATAGGCGAAAGTTCAGTCGCCTGTTTTAAAAAAATAAATAATCAGTATTACTTAAACATAAAAGAAAACAATTTCTCATCATAAACTTCCACTTCACATAAATTGACACACATTGAAAAAATTAGAAATACGTAAAAGTTTCCCCTCACAAATGCCGTTTATTGTTAAAGATGGGTTCCCTTATTTTCATTTATGATAATGAAAATGCTAATATTTATATAAATAGAAAGTAGAAGTGTTCTAATGACTTGGAAAAATACCAGTTTGTCCCACATGTCCAAAATTAATTCATAATTAGCTAAATTAGAAGAGAATTACGAGCAAAATTCCGATGAGTGACCGATCAAGAAAGGTCAAATAGTCATTTTTTGTTTATCCAGACTGTACATACATGGACATTTATGATTGAAGGGTGTCTATAAAACTAAGACCTAAGACTTAAGACTCTATAAAACTAAGACCCAACTATAAAACTAAGACCCATAGGGCTATAAAACTAAGACCCATAGGGCTATAAAACTAAGACCCATAGGGCTATAGAACTAAGACCCATACGCTATAAAACTAAGACCCATAGGGCTATAAAACTAAGACCCAACTAGAAAACTAAGACCCATAGGGCTATAAAACTAAGACCCATAGGGCTATAAAACTAAGACCCATAGGGCTATAAAACTAAGACCCAACTATAAAACTAAGACCCATGGGGCTACAAAAATTAAATTCAAAAATTAATTCATAATTAGCTAAATTAGAAGAGAATTACGAGCAGAATTCCGATGAGTGACCGATCAAGAAAGGTCAAATAGTCATTTTTTGTTTATCCAGACTGTACATACATGGACATTTATGATTGAAGGGTGTCTATAAAACTAAGACCTAAGACTTAAGACTCTATAAAACTAAGACCCAACTATAAAACTAAGACCCATAGGGCTATAAAACTAAGACCCAACTATAAAACTAAGACCCATAGGGCTATAAAACTAAGACCCAACTATAAAACTAAGACCCATGGGGCTACAAAACTAAGACCCATAGGACTATAAAACTAAGACCCAAAGGACTATAAAACTAAGACCCATAGGACTATAAAACTAAGACCTAACTATAAAACTAAGACCCAGAGGGCTATAAAACTAAGACCTAACTATAAAACTAAGTCCCAGAGGGCTATAAAACTAAGACCCAACGAGAAAACTAAGACCCATATGACTATAAAACTAAGACCTAACTATAAAACTAAGACCCAGAGGGCTATAAAACTAAGACCTAACTATAAAACTAAGACCTAACTATAAAACTAAGACCCAGAGGGCTATAAAACTAAGACCCAACGAGAAAACTAAGACCCATAGGACTATAAAACTAAGACCCAATGAGAAAACTAAGACCCATAGGACTATAAAACTAAGACCCAACTAGAAAATTAAGACCCAACGAGAAAACTAAGACCCATAGGACTATAAAACTAAGACCCAACGAGAAAACTAAGACCCATAGGACTATAAAACTAAGACCCAACTAGAAAATTAAGACCCATAGGACTATAAAACTAAGACCCATTTGACTATAAAACTAAGACCCAACTAGAAAACTAAGACCCATAGGACTATCAAACTAAAACCCAACTAGAAAACTAAGACCCATAGGACTATAAAACTAAGACCCAACGAGAAAACTAAGACCCATGGGACTATAAAACTAAAACCCAACTAGAAAACTAAGACCCATAGGACTAGAAAACTAAGACCCAACGAGAAAACTAAGACCCATGGGACTATAAAACTAAAACCCAACTAGAAAACTAAGACCCATAGGACTAGAAAACTAGGGACCCAACGAGAAAACTAAGACCCATGGGACTATAAAACTAAAACCCAACTAGAAAACTAAGACCCATAGGACTAGAAAACTAAGACCCAAAATTTCGATTTTTAGACAAGTTTTAAATAAGTTTTAATTTAGAGTAAATGAAATTGTTCCTTTCAAAACCTGAAATGAAATTGAGTTTATGTCCTGCTTTTCGGCACCTGTATGGGCAAACGCCATGCAGTGTGCAATGGTGGGAATTTTGCCAGGACAACGGCATTAGCCTA